TGCTGAACCAAATGCTTGGAATTTCCTTCAATCTTATATATTATAACCGGTTTTTTGCTATATAAGATTGTTAATTTTTATAATAATAATAATAATAATAATTATTATTATTATTATTATTATTATTGGTGTTTTCGTATGTGCAAAATATATATTATAAAAATATAATAAATAAATAAATTTAAATATATAAAATATATTTTAAATATATAATAAATTATTTATCTTGTAATATACTTTTTATTATTATTTATAATTTATTTTAAAAGTGTAGAATCTAATTTAGAAATAAAAAGGATAAAGATAATTTAAAAACACTTTTAATCGAATAAAAACTCTTAAAAATAGTTAATATGAAATAATTGCATATATATATAGAGAGATTAGATTAACTTAAACTTATTACTAAAGATGATTTTTATTAATTGATAGCTTTTAACTTGCATACTAATTAAGGATGGACAATATTAATTATGGAGGATCTACTTATTGCTAATAATAATAATAGTCACAATGTATAACACAACTAGTTAATAGTTTAAGCCTTTAAACATATGATGAACTCCTATATATTAAACACAAACAATTATTTAAAGTAAAATTATTTTTAGAGACTATTTTTTAACCGAAACCTCTTTACAGATTTTTTTAACTTTTTATTTAATTTAATTTTTTACTTATCATTTTTATTTATAAATTAAAATTTAATATCTTAAAATAAATTGTCAATAATTAAAAATAATATTATATCATAATATAAATGATTTATTTTAAATCTAAAATATAACTTATATACTTAAAAATATTTATTTATAGAAATTATGAATATTTTATTTATACATATAATTTATTATAAATTTTAGTTGTATATAACATACATATATTAAAACACTAGTTATAATTTGACTGTGCGAATAGACAGCCCCTCTGATTAAAAAAGTTATCCTTTAACCAGTACACCTTTGGGATAAAAAAATAATAATAACAACAAAATTAATATTTTCTTATTAAATTAATTTAAAATTTTGATTAATTGAGGCAAGAATTGCTTTGTGGCGCTTTTCTGAAGCTATCAGCTGTCATGGAAAAGGACTAGTTGATGAGTTTTTCATCAAAGATATTTAATGAAGGAACTATACAAGGTTCATCATACTACTTTATCACCAAAATATGCGGGTGTTATTTGCACTCACCAGTGAAAACAAGGAAAGCCGTGCCTTAACAGGATAAATGGTTTACGTAAATTGATTTCACAGAAAGGCCCCTACCGTCGAGACAACGAGGCACACAATTCAAGCAACAAAATGAAGAAATGACATGAGTAGTTAAAAGAAATCTCAATCAGATCCCACAAGTACAAATTACACTTGAGTTACCGGCTATGAGATATTGCATGGACAATATCCAAGAGTAAAAAAAAAAATTCAATAGCAAATGTGCAGTATGATTATGTCTAACTTTTAAGCAAAGGTAGAACTGTAGAAGGCAATGATAGAGAAGTAATTTTTTTTTATGAGAAGCAAGGGCCTGCTGTGGCCTCTTTCATCAACTCATCATCCAGTGAACATTACAATGCATACATATGTTCAAGTGTTATCAATAACTCTGCCTTTTCTAGCAATAACCTACTGAATCATGAAACATGGTTCTTGACAACCACCACACTACATAACATAATTTGCATTGCAATCATCCACAGCACAAACAAATTCACTTAGGCAGTTATTTGTAAATAAAATTATGCACAGTCTCTCAAGAAAGTAAAGAGAGCACGTTATTTGGACACAAGCAGACCCGCGAGGAAGAGATCATAGTAACTTGAGTCAGGAGAGCTCTCAGCTGAGTTAGTACAAGCTTTCTCCAATTCCTCTGATCCACAGTCAAAACTGCAAAATGCTTTCCCACCTCTGCACGATACACAATATATTACAACTAATGTTTTTTACTTGATTGAATTAACAGTAGCATAGTGAAATGTTTGGGACAAACCTGTATCTATAAATGTCTTCCTCCTTCACTAATTTCTTATTGCATGAGTAACAAAAGCTCAAAACATTGTCAGAAGGATAAGGGGATGATACTTCTGAAAATGCAGGAACTTCAGGTTCTTCCTTTTTGCTGAACTCAGTGAAGTCATTGTTGTGACATTCCAAAATGCAGTCACCAAAAATATGTGTTCGCTTGGGGTTTGGACCATGAGAAATTATACAGGTATAATCCTCAGAAAGCTCTATCTCTCTTGCAGAGAGTGAGCCTATACACCCTTTACTAAAATCAATGGATATTGGAAGTGAATTTGATTTAATTTTCAAAGAATTATCTACCTGTGAACCTCTGCTTGTCGCTGGAGGCAAACTCATTAATGTAGATGTATTTTCTAAACACAATTCATTGATTCCAAAATTGGGGTTTTGATTTGAGTTGATTAATGAGGAAGACCTAAAGGAACCTGGCAAAGAAGTCATGGTACTTTTGAAAGCTTCAGATTTCCAATTGCCATCTTTCTTTCCATAGACATCATCAAAGTTTTCCACTTCAGATTTGGGACTTTTGGTCTCAGAAGGAAGTGAAATTACATAGTTTTTGGGCAAGGAATTAGATTTCAAATAAAGTGCAAGGGATTCATGGTTGTTGTTTGAGAATTTAAGGATGGCAGTTTTTACCTGTGGTCCAAAAATTATACTTTTCCTCTGAAATTTACCAATGATTATCTCTTTGTTGAGTTCAATTTCGTTAACGAGGGAACTTATGATACCAAGGCCTACTTTACTGCCATCAAACTGCTTCTTATGGCCAGTTTGAAATAATGGTCTAGGAGACTTGACACTAAACGGGTTGCTAAGATTTGAGAAGAGTCTGCAATCCAGAGGAGATGTAGGGCTCCAAACAGATTCAGAATCTGGCAAACCTTTAGCTCCAATCCCCAACCTAGAGCCAGAGGTATGGAAGATTGAGAAACTCATTTGTCTTAGGCTTAATGCATCACAAGGTAAAGAGAAATTGGAAGAAGAATCAGCCATGAGATTACAAATCTTCCAAATATGATCCTTTTCCCTTCTTCAGCATTATCCTAGTGTCTCATTCCTCTTAAAAAGATGAAATCATCATCTCCTTGCTGCATCAAATTCAAAAAGCTAAAGAAACAGCATTGTATTAATTCCCAGACAATAGGAATCATGACCAAAGCTCACAACAACAACTAATCAATGCATGAGAAAATTGCTTACAGATTTAGCCACTCTGTTTCTTTTTGTTCCCAAGTACACAGATATTATAAAAGGAAATGGAACTTTCAATTTTTGGCAGCGATTAGCACTGAGTTATTGCAAATATTAGTAAATGGTTAAATACTTTTTTAGCCCAGAAAAAGAAGAAATCCCCAAATTATTGATACATTTTGCAACTCAGTTAAAGAGTGAGTATTAATTTCCATTCCCTATAACTTTTATATTTGCTGCACAAAGAGCAATTCAAGAATCTAACTGCCATATGCGGAAGTGATAAATTTAGAATGGTGAATTTCATGAGAATTTTAGCAACTGATCAGGTAAAAGCTTTTGCACAGACATTCTCGACAACATAATCCGTTTCAATAATTTTGAAAACCTCTCACACTTGAGACAAATAAATTTATGAACAATGATCAGGATTGATGATCGGATTTAGTAAAATGGAAAAAATAAAAGGTTGAAGAAACTGTAATAGATACATTTTGGAAGCTCCAAAACAACAAAGTCAGATTTCCAGACTTTTCTTCAAAATATTCAATAACGCTCAAAAATCAACAGTGAAATCAGCTTATACAGAATCTGATTATTACCCAAAAACAAAATCAGATAGAGCATCAAAAGGGTCTCTATTTATTACCCAAAAAGGAAATTTTTTTCTTACATAAAAATTATTACGCATTTTTTAGAGTGAACTATGAAAACATTGACATACATTAGGAGAGGCAAAATAAATAAAAATAAAAAAAACGGAGAATGCATCCGATTGGTCAGAAATGAAAGCATACAAATTTACTGGAAAAGCGACCTACTTTTTTGAATCGGAGAGAAACCCAAATGCTGAAACCTTGTAGTGATGAACATCAGCAGCAAAGGACAAACCTTGTCTACACTCACTTCATAGGTCAGTTCACATTTTACTCTCTTCATGCATTCAGAATTTTTTTTATTTTTTTTTTAGTTTTCACCGTCTTCCACCTTCATGCATCAAAGTCAGAGAAACAGTGAACTCACTGAGTCTTCCAATGTACTACTCTCTCTCTCTCTCTTCTTCTTTCTGTCTTTCTCATCTCACTCTCATCATTGAGAGCTACAAATACGTATAATCCATCTACGCCGAGTATTTTATTTATAATATACACAAAATTCTTTTATATTACTTATATATATAAATAAATAAAATTAACTTACCATTAAATACATTTAATTTTAATAATTTTACATAAAATATAGATTATAATTTTTTTAAATATTTTTAATTATATTTATCCTAAAATATGCTCTCATCTATTATTTTATAAATATTTTTATATTAAAAACATTAAATACAGTTAATTTTGATAAAAAAATTTATTTATATTTCAGTTAAAAAAATATAATTTTTTTATATTAGTCTAATGAGGTACTGTTTTGTTAAATAAATTATAAATCATGCAACTTTATCTCATCTAAAAATAAACGTTATTTTTAATATATACACCGCGATAAATAAAATAACTCATAAAGTTGTATTTTAATTAAAAATTCTAACAATTAACTTGGATGCAATTTTTTTTGAGACTATCATTATGGATATATTTTTTTTATCAATATTTATATATAATTTTTTAAAAAAAATTTGTGTATATAATTTTTAAACTATTATATTTTTATAAGTTATAATCATTTCTAATTCACTCCAAACATTCTCTTTTAATTATTTACTCTATTTTTTTTATTTTTTAAATATAGAAAAAATATCTTTTATACACTAGTTATTTATAAAAATTATAAAATAAAAAATACTTCCAATATTATTAAACCGAACATCAATAATATATTTGGACTGTCAATAAAAACTCATATAGAATATTACTGCACAAACTTGAATGCCAAGATGTTTTACTCATTTGTACAAAAGGATCTCCTTGGATAATTGAGATGATATGATTTTGTTGTTGTAAAAAAAACTCAAGTAAGGCAAACAATTTATTGCTTAAAAAAATTAATACAAAAAAATATAAAAAAAATTATTTAGTTGATGAATAACAAGTTGACACTAAGATAATAACAAAGTTTTATAAAGTCTTACAAAAATTACTGATAAATTATTATTTAAAAAGTTTAGGTTATTTTATTTTTCTAGAGTTTTTTTATTAACTTTAAAAAATATTCTCTTATCAAAAAATTTATAATTTTCATTTTTAAAATTAAATTTTAACACACAAACACACATATATATATATATATAATAGTTAAGAATATTTTTGTATCATAATAAAAAATATTTATCATGATGTAAAATATAATTTATATATTAAAATTTGTTATAAATTTTAGTTATATAAAATTGTTATTTATCTCATATATTACACAAATTAAAATATTAGTATATATATATATATTAAAGTTTAATTATACTTTTCATGTAAAAAAACTACATTATTAACTAATTAAAAAATTAATGATTATATGATTTTTACAATAACTATAATAAAAATCAATTAACTTGTTACACGTGAAAATCTATACTTACACAAAAAAGAAAAATCTTTATATTAATTTTACATATCTTATTTGTAATGTATGCATCTCCATTGCTAATCGCTAGTGCAAATTTTTTACTGGAATAATATTTTTTTTTAAAAAAATTACAAGAATGATCACTGTGCAGGATTATTTACCAAGATAGAACTATTTACTGTTCAAGCTCAGAATTCGGTTCCCGGGAACCGAATTCTGAGCATCAAAATGTAATTTTTTTTGTTTTTTCAACTCAGAATTCGGTTCCCGGGGAACCGAATTCTAAGTTGGTTTTAATTTTTTTTTTTTCGTGTCTGGGGCAAATGTGGGCTGATGTGGGAAGCGGAACGGCCCGTTCCAAAAGCAGAACGGGCCGTTCTGCTTAAAGAAACAGAGTGCAAATTCTGAATGTGAAACGGCCCGTTCTGCTTAAAGAATTTGCACTCTGTTTCTTTAAGCAGAACGGCCCGTTCTGCTTTTGGAACGGGCCGTTCCGCTTCCCACATCAGCCCACATTTGCCCCATACACGAAAAAAAAAAAAT